TATCAGTGGGTCTCCAAAAGACATTGTTCAAGGAGAAAAATCAAGATGCAGAACCCTGGTATAAGAAGGAGGGGAAGAAGAATATTATTCAGCCATTAAAAAAAGGAAAGCCTGCCGAAGCTGGTTTGGCTCAGTGGATAGAGCGTCGGCCTGCGGACTGAGAGGTCCCAGGTTCGATTCCGGTCGGAGGCATGTACCTGGGTTGCGGGCACATCCCCAGTTGGGGGTGTGCAGGAGGCAGCTGATTGATGTTTCTCTCTCATCGATGTTTCTAACTCTCTATCTCTCTCCCTTCCTCTCTGTAAAAGATCAATAAAATATATTTAAAAAAAAAAAAGATTTAAAAAAAAAAAAAGGAAAGCCTGCCATTTGGCAACATGGATAGACCTTGAAAGAAATATGCTCAGTGAAATAAGTCACACAGAAAAAGACAAATACTGTGTGATCTCACTGATACTGTATGTAGCATCCAAAACAAACAAACCAACCAAGCTCACAGATACAGAGAACAGAGGTGGGAAGTGGGAGTGGGTGAAGTGGGTACAAACTACCAGTTATAAAATAAATAAGTCACGGGGATGTGATGTACAGCATGGTGACTATGGATCATCACAGCACCTATTGCACATTTGAATTGCTAAGAGAGTAGATCTTAAATGTTCTCATCACAAGAAAAGAAATTGTGTAAGTATGCGTGTTGTGGGTGTCGACTAGATTTATTGTGGTGATCGCTTCACAATATATACAAGTGTCAAATCCTCTGGTGTATACCTGATGCTAATATAACATATGTCAATTACATCTCAGTAAAATAAAGGGAGGGAACTTATATACATATATGCTTGAATACGGGAAGGCTGTCTGCAGGAGAACTCACAGGAACCAATAATGCTGGCTGTCTCCACAGAGCGTAACTGAGGGGCAAGTGGGAGGAGGAGGCTCTCACTGTATGTCCTTCTGTACTTTTTGAACCTTAAGCATAAATGTATTATCTTTTAAAATACATTTAGATTTTAAAAGGAAGGAAATGAAGAAAGATCTATATGTAGAGCCATGAAGAGACATGGAGAGGTTCATGAGTAAATAAAAATGAATTGCTAACAGGATGTCTAGTGTGAGTCAATCTTAAAAAAAGAATATTCACATTCACATACAGACTTGGAAATACATAGAAAATGACTTGAGGGATTCAGCAGAAAACAGGTGTTCCCTTGGGGAAGGGTGGAAAACAGAGAAGTCTTTTCATTGTATCCCCTTCTGTCCTGTTTGCTTTTTTAAAACAAACATGTGTTATTGTTTTAATAATAATAATAATAGTAATAATAATAATAATAATAATAATGGGATGGTTAAGGCAAAGGGATGTTACCTGGTCCTGGGCCAGCCCTGGCTCCTGCCGTGCCAGCTGCACCATTATGGGCAAAGTCACTCCACAATGGGAGGCCTGCACCAACCTCCTGGGCTGCTGTAAAGCTCAAACCTGCAGATCAGGGTGGGCAACTCCAGGTCTCCATCTGCAAGGGCCCCTCATTGAAATCCATGTGAAAGAGCCGCAGGAGGGAGCTCACCATGAGGGGACGATTTGCTATCTTCACTGTCGTGGTGAAGACGTAAAATTGCATAGAACTAAACACAGAGTGCACACACACGCACACACATGCACACGCACACGCACACCATGGGTGCGGATAAAACAGGGGCATCAGAACAAGATTAGTGGGAGACATCAGAGTCCATATCCTGATTGTGAAGTCGTACTGTAGTTTTACAAGATGTCACCGTTAGGGAAACGGGGTCAAGAGTTCAGAAGTTCTCTCATTGTTCTCTCTCATAACAAGGGACTCCACAATCATCTCAAAAAGACTTCCCTTTTTAAATGTGTATGAGCTTAGCCTTGATTAGAAGAGCTGTTGTGAGCATCGAGGATGCAGCAAAGATGGAATAAAGGTGGCAGGCCTCTGAGAGAGGAGAAGGAAGGCTTCAAGGACCCTCCGATTCACCCAGTGTCCTCTGAGCGGGTCACACGGGAACCATCGCAGTGCCTTCCCTGCGGCCGCAAAGAAGCTGGGAGGTGGGGTCCTGGAGGACGGAGGGCAGCAGGAGGCCATGTCTGCCCAGGAGTTCTTTCTCCGCCCCTGAGGAGTGTGGTGGAAATTTCGGGGTCTCCCATCAGGCTGTGCCTTCGGGCAAGTGGTGGCTCCAGCTCTCTGAACCTTGGCCTCCTCGCCTGTCTAAAGGAAATATGCTGGGGGGTTAAAAACACACAAGCCTGAATATTTGACAGTGTTTGGCATGTGGTGGATGCTCGGGAAATGTGGTTTCCTCCCCTTCGGAGAACCAAATTCATGGAGCAGAGTTCTGCCGTTTTCTGAGGGGCATCCCTCCCACCTTTGCCTGCGGACAAAACCGTGCTCACCTGAGCGTCACCTGCACATGCCTTCGTAAGAGAGGATTTCCTTTTTGAAAAATATTTTTTGTTAATCCTCACCCAAGGATATTTTTTCCATTGAAATTCAGAGAGAGTGGAAGGGAGGGAGGGAGGGAGAGAAACATTGATGTGAGAGAGACACATCGATTAGTTGCCTCCAATGAGGGCCAGAGATCAAACCTGCCACCCAGGTATGTGCTCTTGACTGGGAATCAAACCTGAGGCCCTTTGGTGTGACGGCCAACACTCTAACCATTGAGCAACACCAGCCAGGGCAAGAGATGATTTCTTCAGAAAGCAACTCTTTCACTCCTAAAGAACACTTTCCAGCCTATTCAGCACAGGTACCAAGCACTGGGCCGGAAACAACAGCACCCTGACCTCAGCCACCTCCAGGCGATGTGACCATGGGCAAAGCACTGAACCCCTTTGTGCCTCAGTTTCCTCATCTGTAACTTAGGGTCAAGAACCCCAGGATGATTGTGAGGATTAAATTAAATGAGATAATATAGATGAAAAGGGCCTTGCAAACTGCGATTGTTTTTTGCTATTACTATTATCAATCTTCTATGTGTTTAAAGAACGCATCTTCTTCCCACTGTTGTCTGTAGACACGGGCCAATGCCCCAGTGGATGGACAGGAGTCGTCACAGGAACTTACAGAGCCAGGCACGGCTTCGAGTGCTTCATCCTTGCAGGGAGCATTTGCAGAAGTTCCTGCTGCTACCCCCATTTCAAATGAGGAAAATGAGACACAGCCATTAAGCTACTGAAATAGCTAAACCCCGCACAGCCCCAGTCCGCTGGAGCTGAGGAGCAGCCACCCCTCACGCAGCGCGTGTGCTCGCCGGCTTACTGCATCCCCGCCACTCCTGATCGCCACTGACCCTGAAGCCGAGATACTGTTTTCATTTCTCAGGGCCCTTACACTGTTGCTCTTCTTATGGTGGAGACATAGTTCTTGGTACCATGTCTACCAAAGATTGAAAAATAGAAAGTACATCAAGGAGCCATGAGTTTTACTTTGTAGGACGTGAAGAGTATTTACAGGGAGTCAATCTGCAGACACCGGTCCTGTCCACACATGTGCATTACAAGCTCAGAGCTGCCTAACAGGTTGTGAAGAATGTGCGCTGCTTGTCGCTGGGGGCCTGGTTCACTCACAGTCCATGTGAGCGGCACCTCCGGGAGTCCACAGCCTGCACAGCCTAACACAGCCGTGTCCCCAGGAAGTTGGCCATTGCAGTCACAGGTCTCAGGGCCCTCAGCCCCTGCCCTCAAGTTGTGCAGCCAGGGTGGTCCATCTGTGTGTCCCACACTTGCCTTCTCTCTGTAGCGTGCCTCTGTCTTTCAAGGGAAAACCTCAAGGCAAGGCTGAGTGTGGGACTGTCACTCTCTGTCAGACCCTGGACTTCCTGAAAGTGCTTTAGATAAAACAATGAAGATGACCATCGGAGATAATGAGGCCTGGGTGTCAGCACTTCCCATAAGCCTCTGAGAAGGGACCTAAGATATATCTGACCTGTGAAACCCCCACAGTCAGCCTCCACAGATGGGAATTCCCTGTTCACGATTGGGCCTCGTACAATAGCTGCCAAGAACCACTAAAGAAAACCTAGGAAAGACTTATTCCGCTTGCCCCGTGCATCTATTTCTGGAAATGTAGCCGTAGAAAGTCACAAAAAGAAAGAGGGAGGGAGGGAAAGAGAAAAGGAGGGAGGAGAGGAAAAGTAATATTCATAAAAATGTCCACCAGGCAAAATCACATCCAGTTAATCATGGTGGGTACTTCTGTGGTGAAAGATTGTTTGTTCATTTGCATTTTATTTTGAAAATTTTCTACAATGTTATGTAAGTTGGATAATTCAGACTAAATCAATGCAACCTTAACATGTGATGTGTCTTAAAGACACCAGGCTACTGACACCCCTTAAGCACTCAGCTGGTGGTCAAGAGCAAGACTCCAGAGCTGGTACCTGGTTTCCCAGGGTGGCTCCTCCGCTCCCCCACTGCACTGTGACTGAGCAGGGCCCCTCGAGACAAGCAGCGCACATTCTTGACAACATGGTAAGTATCCACCATGAATAATTGGGTGTATTGGGCTCAGTTTCCTTATTTTTAAAATGGGCACTATGAGAGCACCTGGCTCCTAAGTTGCTATTAGCAATGCTAACATGGGTTGTGCCATCATTTCTGACTCAGCAGCTCACCCAAATCCCCATCATTCTCCATCTTCCAATCCCAAATGCATCCAAACTCAGCTCTCCTATGAAATGCCTCCAGCTCCAGATGACAGACGGAGGAGGAAAGATGGGGTGCCACCCTCCCTGCACTACCCATGCCTCCCAGTGGACCCTTTGGCCTCTTTCCCTCTCCCGAAGCCCCCCCTCCGCTGTAACTCATTTCCGTTTTTCATGCTGACACATTTTAAAGTGAATCGCAGGCTTCATGCCATCCCTCTTCTGCTTACTCCAGTAGATGACTTAAAGAAACAAGAACCTTTTTCTATAGTCAAAATACATTATAATCACTAACAACATATTTTATTAATGCCATATAATAATTGGCTCATAGATAAATTCAGAGACATTTTAAAATTCATAACTTTTCCCATCTTTTTTTTTAACTTTGTCAGACATGATGGGCACTGGAGAGGGACAAAAATGCACAGAGACACTGTGTGGGTGAGGCTGGAGGCAGTGGCATGTCCTGCCCTCCTGGAAGGATAAACCAGGGGGCAGTGTGGCAGACATGGGTCTTCTGATCCAGCAAACCCGCTCCTGGTAATTAACTGGATGGTGGGTACACCAGAGGGTTCTGTGGGAACATCTGATATAACCATCCCCGGGACAGTTCATTCAGTCGGGGTGACGACATGCTCTGGAACCTGTAACAAGACCCAGGAAAGCTAAACGCAGTCCCTGACCCTCGGCTGGGTCTGTGTCTGAGGGACATTACTGGGTTAATGAGCAGAATAGGATTACAGACAGGTTAGAGAAAAGTACTGTACTGAGACTACTAACTGTGCTGTGTTTAGATATAAAAAATAATCTTTATTCTTAGGAAATGTATACTGAAGTCTTTAAAGAACCATGATGCATGCAACTTATTCTCAAATGGCTCAACAATGTATCTTACATTTGCACAATATACTAATACTGTGTGCTTACATATACTTACAGAGGCGGGGGAGGAGAGGGGAGAAGAGCAAAGAGAAAATGACCAGTAAAATGTAAATAATAGATGAATTGGGGATAGATGATATACAGGTGATTTTTATAGGTACTATTCTTATTCTTAACTTTTTATAAGTTTACATTTATCCCAGAATAAAAACTTCAAAATTAAAAGAATGAGGCTGATAAATATAACCAATACTCACCATCCCCACAAAGAAGGGAAGAAGCCCTTCTTTTTGGGCGTCTTTGCAGGCAGTGTGGCAGCACCCTGCTGTTGTTCATGGAAGAGCACAGTTGCCTGGATCTGAGCGCACTGATGCACAGACCACCTAGGGAAGCCCTCAGAAGGGGTGGGGGCGGAACAGCCATCCTCATTAAAAGAACAAGAAAAGAAGGAAAGGGTGTGGGGACTCATTTAGTTAGCCCCTTGGACTTGCCATAAGGACAGAAGTCCTGGGTTTGCTGGGACCACCCCAATTTCAAATACTCCCTCCATCACCTTTACTAGTGCCCTCAGGAGGGACAGGGCTGCCCAGGACGTGGGCCTGCTTCCTCATCGGCAGGGCTGGCACCGGGCTTGGCCCAGGGCCTTTACAGCAACCCCCCAGGTGCTCTGGCCCAGCCTGGCCAATGTCACCCGGGAGCATCTGGCTGAGCAGACAGTCCAGAATCTTGGACCCTCGTGAGAAGCAAATACTGTGCCAGCCAAGCCCAGGCCTCTCCATCAAGTCTCCGCACCCCACGCCAGGGCTGAGGCAGCCTTGCCCCTGGTCAAGGGAAGCCTACAGAGGAGGTGGGGTTGGCCCTTTCCATCCCTGCCCTGCTCAGGTCCGCTGAGAAGGCTGCTCCCTGGAAAAGGGGCCAAGAGCTTTCAGAGGATTTTAGGAAACATGAAACAGAGTGGGGACCTCTTGCCCTGACAGTTTTCACCCCTCCCATCAGTTGGGGCCAGAATAACAAAGAAGCTTCCTCTCATGTGCCTACTCTGGTTGGTTGATAGTGTTGCCCAGGAACCGTGATGACAGGATTCTGAGGTACTGTCCAAGCTGGAAGGAGAGAGTGTATTGATGATCCCTTGGCCATGTCTGCATGATGTGGAATGAGACTCGCAGTGTACAGACCCTGTATTTGCCACCCGGAGTTATAAGCATGACCTCAAGAAGAGAGAGATGGGGAGAGGTCATTAGCAGAATCACCACTATTACTACCACTACTACTGCTACTCCTCTGATTGCAGCTAGAGTTACTGAGCACCTACCATTGGCCAGGCATGTATAGATGCCTCCCATGACAGTCCTAAAGGTGTTGGAGTCTTACTGATCCCTGAATGTCTATTGAACTGAGGGGTGGGAGCATAACCCCGTTTTACAGTTGAGGCAACTGAGGCTCACAAAGTGCTTGCCAAGGTTCCACTGCTCGTAGGTGGTAGAGTCGGAGGTGCACCCCTAAACCTGGGTGCTTTCCATCCCCCACTCTGCCTCTCTCTGATTCACCCTTCCTATCCCAGGGCCCACCCCTGGCTGCCTTTCCTGAAACGCCCTCCACCCCCCACCCACCCCCCGCACCCTAAGTCCCTCGTAGACATCGTGTCCACTGCCTACAAAGTCATGGGTGCCACTGGGAGGCACAACAACGTGGTCAGGGACTCACTGCCCCCACATTCAGTGGACAGGGGCCTCCCTGTATCCGTTACTTGTCCCCAACCCAGGTTCTTCCCACCACACAGCAGTGATAGATAGTTTGTGAAATACCCCGAGCTTGCGGTTGACCAGAATTCTGAAATAATTCCATTGAGACCGGAATTCATGCAATGGTCTGTATCCTGATGTGGTAAAGAAGGCAGCCCGCAGGGGTGGGGGGGGAGTGGTGGTGGTGGTAAGAGGATGTGAAGGCCCAAGAATGGTGAGGCAGCCTCCAGGCCCTGCAGAGCAAGGGCTCCTGCTGCCACCCCTCCCCTGGCCCACGGGCTCCGGAAGGCCCATCTGACAGGAGCGGAACCCTGATAAGCACCACCTGACCAGGAGCCCTGGGCAGAGAGATTAATGCACAAATTGTCAACAACCTCCCAACGCTGCACCCCCACAAGGGGAGCAGGGGCATAAGGAGGCACATTGGGAAAGGAAGGACAGTGAGGCCTCAACCAGGGATAGGCAAGAGAACAGACAGCCTGCCCCAAGCCCTCAGCCTCAGCCTTGCCCCCAAACCCACAGGGCCTGGGGCTGGGCAACCTGAGTGGGAAGAGGCTGACGTGTGAGGCTGAGGGATCATCATGGCGGCCGGGTTTATCGCTGAGCTGAGCCTTGGCCTGAGCAGGCCCTTGATGTGCAGGGGGATGGAGGAGAGCCTTTGGAGGCCCTCAGCCTGGAAGCATCCCACAGCTGGGTTGACTCCTGAGTTGTCTGGGGCCTCAGGTCATGGGGACTCCACCAGACCTGGCCGGCCTCCATGACCAATGAGCTGGAAGAGGACTGGGCTTCTCCTTGGCTGGCATCCCCTCCCAGCACTGCAAAGCATCCCCCTACTACAGCTGGGCAGGGACCCCAGGCCAAGATGTGGCAGGAAGAGGGCAGGCCCAGGTGGCTTTGGAGTTGCCATGTTCAGGGGCCTCCCTCACACCAGTTTCCTCATCTGGAAACCAGAAACCTGAGGTCAATCCAGTGGGATTTCTATAGAGCAAAATGCACTCAGTGGAAGGGCTGCCCTATACTCCGAGGTTATGAGATTCCCTTTTTAGGGAAAAAGTAAAAAATAAAACCTTTTCTCTGAAGAAATCATGGTACTACCAGTCAGATATGGTGTACTGAAGACCCCCTGGTATATTTCGTTTGCTACATGGGTAATTGGGCTTCCATCTTTAAATCTTTAAGTCCATTTGTTTAAGTTGTATTTCCAGTTTCGTTTGGGAAGCTCTGAGCCACAGGTCCCATGTGCCCCAGGCCCCACCTCCCCCAAACCCTGCCCCTGCCCTTCCCTGCAGCAAGCAACCTGGGCCATTTACGTCCTCAGTGCCATGTGGAGCCAGCCACGCCCCCACACATTGTCCACCTGCCCCTGGCTCATGTGTGCCAAGCCAGGGCACCGCAGTCCAAGTCCCATCTATCACCCTCAAACAGCTGCCCCGTGTGTCTGCACCCATTGGCCGGGGCCACTGGCACCCACAGCAGGAGCAGGCACTGCCCCGGATCGCACCATCTCTGTGCAGCCAAGGTTTCCACCCACAGAACAGTGAGAATCTAGAGTGTAAGCCCAGTGCTATCCTGGGTGGCACAGTCCCAGGAGTCTGCAGGTGACACCTGGTTCCTTCTCAATCATTCCTCCACCCCCACTCAGCACTCAGCTGGTACAGACCACCCCCATCCCTGATGACTTCCCTACAAGCCCGTCTTCCTCAGTCAGTGGCCAGGTGCGGCCACACATGCAGGGCCCGAGGTCCTGTTGGGGGCCTACTCCCGCTCAAGAACCAGAGCAATAGAGGCAGTGGAAGCACAGAGTGCTGTTTGAACTGGGCAGAGCACAGGCCCCAAGTGGCCCGATCATCTGAATTTTTTCAAGAGGTGAAGAAAATTCAAAATTTTAGGGAATCTCTCCTGAGTTTTAAATGTTGAACATGAATTCAACTTTTCATAACGATAATAACATTCTGCAGGAAGAGAAAATCCATCTGCTGGCCAGCTGGTACAACCTGCAGTCAGCAGCCAGGCCTCACTGGGTGTAGTGAAGGTGCAAAACCAGCTGGGCAACGTCTTCTGAGCGTCTTTTCTGGGACCAGCCCAGGGCTGGTGCGGGGCACCCACCTAAGTCAGACTCAGTCAGATCCAGGCGTCAGGGAGCTAGGCTTGGAGCGGTGCAGAGACAGATCATGGCAGCACAACAAAACAGTGTGATCTCTCGTACAGGCATGGAGTGTTTCCCGGGCTTTCACAGACATTGCTAACAAGTTTTCCTCTGGGAGAGGGAGGTTGGTAACTGGGGGATGGAAGAAAGGGGAAGGGATTTCTACTCTTCTCTTTATACTCTTCTGACCTGCTTGAATATTTATCATTAGCATGTATTACTTTTACTGTGTTTACAACACATGACACGAATGTAAACCAATGCAGTGACACTGTTATAACATTGTAACTTGAATGCCCAGAAAGCCCAACAAAGTAGTAACTGTCTGCATCTAGGAGAGGGGAGGAGAGTGGCAGTAAGCCTTCTCAGGGGTAATGCTGAGGGCTGAGTTTTAGAGAATGAGTAGGATTTTTTCTAGGCAGAAACAAAGGGAAGCTTCCTCGCAAACCACAGAAATCAGTGGCTATTGGGGTCACTGGGGAAGGTTTCACGAAGTTTATGGAGGGACATACTTCAACTGGACTTGGAAGGATACAGAGGATTTGAACAGGAAAGGGGGTTAAGGTAGCAGGTACAGCACAAGTGTGGGGTAAATGAGCCTGGCACAAGTCCAGGACCATGGAATCTAGCTGGGATTCCTCAGGGTGGCTCCAGAGCAGGGGCTGCGGCCTGAGAATGTCCCTGATCCCCATAGGACCTGAGTCAGAGCTACCTCTCAGAGGCCCAGGAGGCCCTCGGTCTGTCCTGGCAAGACAAACAACCACTTCAGGCAGCCTGCAGGTTCTGAGCAATGTGGCATGTCATGCCCCTGACTGGGAGCTGATCGATCGATCACTATATTCAAATACTGCTGGGACCTTTACTTACCTCAGTGGGAGCTTTAGCTGTCTTTCTCTAAACTCCAGTTTCCTTAGGCACCTCCACCTGCGAGGTAACTGTGAGGAACCAATGGTATGAGGATGTCAAGTTACGCCACGGGGCCTGGCTTGGACCAGGAACACCATAATAATTGCTGACATTGACCTGGTACCCACTTGCTTAAGTTCTCTACCACCAGCAATTTGTTTGGTCTTCACAAGAACCCCATGTGGCAGTTCCAGTGATAAGCCTTTAAAACAGATAAGGAAACTGAGGCAAGCATGGCTACACACAGCCAGTGAGTGTGGGAGCCGGAATCTCAACCCCAGCTGGCTGGCTCCAGCACCCATACTGTCACCTACCACGCCCTTCATGCAGACACCACACTTCTTCATCCTTTTAAAGTAAAATTTGGCCGCCACCATCAACAGAGATTCTCCATGCCAGAGCGCCAGGCAAAAGTGACCACAGCAGCAGGGAATGCCCAGCCTCTGTGCTCTGGGCACTGCCCAGCCAACCCTTGGAGAAAGGCATGGATATCCTGGGCAGGGGTCGCCCTCTGGTGGTGATGGGCACAGAGTCACCACTGACCTCAGGTCTTTGGAATGAGGTGGCAAGGTGAGGTGGGCCCAGCTCATACCTGGACCTCTCTCACCACTCAGGGGCCAGGGCCCAGATGCCCCACATTGTGAAGGGGAAACCAAGGCCCTGAAAACGGAGCAGAAACTTTGTCAGGGCCATAGAACATGTCCATGGAAGAACTGGAAGGAGCCAGACTTGATGCCCAGTGGCTGGCCTGTGGGATGAGGGGGGACAACAGCATTTATTGAGTGCCTGCATCATGTTCTACATGCAGAGTCTTCCGTGACCCCTATTAAATAAAAAATTATTCATGGTACTTGTTAAAGACCCTAAGAATGCTTTATTCAAGGGGGACCATTACAACAGGGTCCCTTTTTTTAGAGAGAGAGGAAGGGAGAGGGAGAGAAACAGCGATGTGAGAGTGAAATATCAATCTGCTGCCTCCTGCATGATGCCTACCAGAGATCAGGCCCACAACCCAGGCATGTGCCCTGACCAGAAATCAAACCCGCAACCTTTTCGTGCACAGACTGATGCCCAACCAACTGAGCCACACTGGCCAGTGCCAACAGGGTCTTATTGTGGGGAAGAGTGATGGAGCTGCCCCCTGAATACAAGAAAGAGGGAATTTATAACCACAGAGCAGGGTGGGGTCAGTGGATGGAAAATGACTAAGAGGAAATATCAGGAATAAGGGGAGATTCTGCTGAATCAACCTAACAAGATTCGTGTTGAAGGTTAGCCAGGTGACCAGCCATCACTTGGTAGAATTCAGTGGTTCTCAACCTCCCTAATGCTGCGACCCTTTAATACAGTTCCTCATGTTGTGATGATCCCCAACCATAAAATTATTTTCGTTGCTACTCCATAACTGTAATTTTGCTACTGTTATGAAACGTAATGTAAATATCTGATATGCAGAATGTATTTTCATTGTTGGCGTCCCACAGGTTGAGAACTGCTGTGTAGATGGTGGTGGGTAAGGAACCTGATCAGATATAACATGTGAGAGATTCTGGCTAAATTGAATTACCAGGATTCTTGCTGAAAGTGGACAATGTAGAGATGCATACAGAAGCCCAAAAGTCAGGGCCTAGTTGAGAAGAGAGTTCAGAGGAGCCAAGTAGAGTCTGTCAAGGAGAGTCTTTGCCCCCCTCTCTGCGATCATCCCGTTCTATGGATGAGGACCAAGGGCTCAGACACCCTGCTGATTCCAGAGCCATCCCGAAGACCGGCCTCCCAAAGAGCCACCTCTTAACTGCCTTGTGTTCCACTGGGTCCAGTGGAGTGTGGCTTAAAGCAACACTCAGTTTTCCCTCTAAAATGGGACCTGAATTAGATATGTGTTTTGCCAGTTCCACCTTCACATTCTGTGCCATATGCTCCCATAACAACAGACCCTTACCTAGTGTTTACTGGCCCCTATCACCTCATTTGAGCCTCACACCAACAACGACTCTCTCAGTTAGAAATTAATATTACCCCCATTTTATGGATGGGAATATTGAGGCACAGGGCAGTTGAGTACCTTGGCCATGATCACATAGCTAGAAAGTAGCAAAGCTAGCCATCCATTGCAGGAAGCTTACCCAGGGCCAGGGAGGCTGAACTCTCTGCTCTATCACCTCCTCCCTTATCAGGTCAGTCTCATGGTCTAACTTAGTTTTAAATGAAACTTTCTCACTACCATAAGTGGAAAACCAGTTGCACTTGCCTGAGTAAAAGGTAACACACACAAAGAATGTAAATCAAGTAAAGGGATTCCATTCCCCACAAAGAGTCAAGTGCTTGGAGAGCCTGGAGTTCAGGAGAAGCTCTGTTTTTGCAAAGAGATTATGTGTTCAGAGGACTGCTAGACCAGAGTGACCCCACCCTGGACTTTCTCTCAAGAGACCCTCTCTGAGTCAGGAGGCCCTGACACCGATACCTCAGAGCAGGTTGGAGCTTGGTCGAGGGCTCCCAATGTGGACCAGGCTGAGTGCTGCCCCCAGCGCTGTGAGGGCTACACCACATAACTGTTGTTCTGCAGGTCCTTGCTAGCAGATCTTGCCCCAGACTTGCCTGATGGTTGTATGGCCCCAAAAGAGTCATTTCTCCACTCTAGCTCCCAGTCCTCACTATAAATGAGGACTTCCCGGATCTGCTTTAGGGACTAAACAGATATTGGAGGCAAAGTGCACAAAACAAGATGGACACCATGCGAAGGGACAAATTGGTGATCATCCTGGCAGGGTCTCTGTGGCACGCTAGTCCCCTCACCCCAGCTCCACGGCCAGTCATCCCTGAAGCCTCCTTGGGGATAGAGGGGAGACGGGACCTGAGGGCATGCATTACTGGGAGTGGATGGTGAAACATGAGGGAAGAGGGCGCCTGGTGTCCACCACTGGGGAGTGGGTGCTTGAAAGGCAGAGGACACACAGTGAGATACTCCGGGGTAGAAGTTTATCTGGAAACACACACAGTGACATGGATGGGCCCCCAAGTGAGCCAAGTGAGACCAGCAAGAACCAGAGTGTGCTGAGAGCAAAGTGGACACACATGCATGGAAACACGCCACATGCATTATCAGCATACCGCATCTGAGGACATGCACCCTACACAGTGGGGCTGCTGAGGATAGGGGGTGGGGGTCAGGACGAATGAAGGTACAGCAGGGATAGAGGCAGTACGTACCAATCCAAAGAAAAGTAGAAGATATTCATAGAATGCCCAGCACAGGGTCTAACCTATTACAGATTTAATAACCTGGGCCTCCACTTCTAGCAGTGGACCCTGGGTAAGGTCATCTCTCTGGGTACTCGTATCTGTGTCTGTCAGATGTAGGAAGGACTATTATCTGTGCCCAGCCCACAGGAGGCAACTGTGGGTCCTAAGTTATAGGTGGGCAGTGCCCCTAAATCACAGGATGGCCACACTGGCAATTAATTCAAAAGCCCTTACAGGGCCCTGAAATCCTACACACACACACACACACACACACACACACACACACACACACACACACACACACACACACACACAACTAAATCACAACTGCTATGTATTAAGCACATATGCTCTGTGCCAGGATGTTTACTTACATATTTTTTATCCTCATAACACAGGTATCATTTGGCCCATTGTTTGAGTTGGAAAACGGTAAAAGGTAAGTGACTCGCAGAACCAAAACTCAATTCCAGGTAAATCTGATGCCACCCTCATCCAACTGTCCCAGGCTGCTTCCTACCACCACCACCAACACACACACACACACACACACACACACACACACACCAGCCCGAACTAAAACCCCCCTGGAACTGTCTCTGCCCCTTGTGTGCCCTGGGTGTGCATAGATGCCTCAGCCCAAACTGACCCTCTCTAGTCCAAATTCAAAGGGGTCTCCTCCTCAGTACTCAATCTTCATCTCTGACAGTCACCCCCTGCCTCATGCTGCTGGAGTCCCTTACCTGAGTCCACTCATCGCAGCGCCCATCTCGCATCTGGTCTCCTCCCTGGTTCCCTCCTGGCTCCGCGGGGCACCCCACCCCAGTGGCCTGGCCTCACAATGCAGAAAAACCTGAGCTCTCTAGAAGAGCTCTGGGTACCAGTGGGCAAGAGGGTTGGTCATTTTCATCCAATACTTCCTCACTACATACACAGACCCACCTTCCCCACTCCAGGCCTTCTGTTGGGCAGCAAATCCAGGTCCTGCCCCTGGGTTCCCGGCCTGGTGGAGCGAAGTGCCAGGCCCCAAAAGGGATGGATCAGAGTGACAGGAGCCGGGGTTGACTCAGAAGAGAAGCCCCATGAGCAAGGCAGGGCACAGGAGCAGGGAGTGGGAAAGCTGTGTGATGAGATAGTGGTGTGAGAGCACCATGTGGACGGTCTGAGGGTGCACAGAGGTGTTTCTGCAGTGAAGGTGCCCCTGGAGCATGCTGCATGCCCTGCATGCTCCTGGAGGAGAGACTGTGGGTGAGGAAAGGTGCCCCAGAATGCCAGGCCTACCTGCTGTGCAAGCTCCCTCAGCTGCAAAGTGGGATGATAGTATCTGCTGAAAGAGCGGCTCTGTTAGCAGTCAGATGCATAGGTGACCACAGCGGTGACTGGCACCAAGTAAGTGCTGAGTGTAGGCTGTTATTATGACAGTGTCTGTGGGCTTCCAAGGTCCGTGAGGGTGGGGACTTTGTCCACTCCCATATCCCCAGGGCCAAGGGCCAAGGGCAGCACCCAGCACACAGTGGGCATTCAGTGAACATCTGTGGGTCAACACAGCAGTGGGTGTACACCTGCCTGCGAGTCTGAGAAAGAACCATGGGTGTGGGAGGAGCACGTACACCCAGATCCTGAAATGGCTGCTCACCTGTGGCCATGTGCCTTCGCTGTCCTTCATGAGGACACACAGGAAACAGAGACAGACACCATCCTCCTCTGCTACTTCAGGTCATGCCAGGGCAGGAAGCTCCCGCTGCCTATCACAGTGCCCCCAGCGCTCACTGACAGGGCAACAAGACACCAAGATGGGTCCCATCTCGTAGAGACCAGGCTCAGCTCTCCCATTGAGAGCTCAGCCAGCACTGGGGGAAAGCCAGAATTTGGCAAAAAAAAAAAAAACACCCAGAAAATATCCCTGTGCCTCCTCCCTCTTCAACTGAGCTGCTCCTGGGCTCTCCCCACATGACTGGCCCCAGTACTCGAAGTATCAATACTAGGAGGACCCTCAGATATCTCATTGTGCAGGAAGACTTTAGGCCTGGAGAGGGAAGGGACTTGCCCACGGTCGCCCAGGGGCTGGCTGCAGAGTTGATCCTCAACCCAATGTATTACGACCATCTGCCACTAGAAACGTGAGTGATGGACACCTACAAAGGCACTTTGTAAACAGCTACACATTCCCAACAAAAGGGTTATGCTGATCATTCTCATAGCTGTTGAGGGAAGAGATTCTATTTCTTGAGCCAGCACTGTTGGAAGGCTTTACTTGCATCCTATTCATGATTTATTTCAGGCCTATTTCAGATCATATTGTCCCCAATTCCAGGCGAGCAGTGTGAGGCTCAGAGTACACAGACAAGCCCTCGAGTGGGTGGCACACCCAATCAGAAGCCTTGATGCAAAGGCAGTGGGGGTGCCGGGGAACGACAACAAAAGGGGCTGGGGAAGACAGTGAGTGCCAGGACCAGGCCTGGGGAGGGGAAGCTGGGGCCACCCAGGAGAGAAGGTGTGCCCTGAAACCTGACTTGCAGCCACCAGGGCCTGAATGGGGCAGGGCGGGGAAGAGACCAGAAGGGAAAGAGCAGCATTCACTCACCTCTATAGCCAAAACTCTGCTGTGCTGTCCACCTTCCAAGCTGTCTCTTCCCAGGGATGTCTCCCCAACCCTTCAGACTAAATCCATTGATCACATCGCCCTATTTTATTTCCTTCATAGTATTCAGCACTACCTGCAGGAATTTATTTTCTAGTTTCTTGTCTTTCTAAAAGTCACACAAGACTTTGTCCCACTTACTGTAACCCCGGGGCCTTCAGGCACAGTGCCTGAGACGTAGTAAAGGTATTTCTTAAATGAATCGCAGGCACTGATGCGCTGCCTCCTTCACTCTGCTGCGTGAGCTCCCACCCTAGGGAGGCGAGCCGTCCCCTGTACTTCACAGAGCAGAGCCAGACGGTGTCAGGTAGGAGCCCCCAGAGGACAGGGAGGGCCACCCAGGAGGCGAAGCTTGTGGAGTTCTCTGCCAGTTTCCTGCAGGTACTGGTGGGAGGCAGGCCCAATTGCTCAGAGACCACCCTGGAAATCTCTCCCTCCAGCCGTCCATCACATCACGGGACTCTCTCAATTGGCCCCTTCTCACCTAGATCTGTAACCTTTTCCCTCCCTATGACCTCCTCACTTCCCAACACAATTTGAATTGGCGCCTATCTTTCTCATCCTAAAACAAATCTTTTTGGATTCCATCTCCTGAATGAAAGGCAAAAAAGGGGGCCAGAATCGAGACTCTTCCCTCCCCATCATCACCCACTGGCAAATCCTATAGACCCTGTGAATACTCCTAAGTCTGCCCCCTATTCTGTCTGCTTTTCCCTGATATCTATTTTGTGCATTTCTGTTCCCGGCATTTAGTTCAGGGCCTGCTATGGTAAATATGGAACCAACCACTGGATGGAAACTGAGAATGTAAGGGGCTTGGTTGGGGGCACCATGGTGGCGTGGCCATGGTAGGGGAGAGGCTGCACTCCATTCTGGCTCTTGGCTAGCCCAGTCTGGAGGTTCCATCTTCCCTCCCTGTCATTCCCCAAGCCTGTGCAGACAGGTAACAGACCAGTCCCCAGATCCCAGGCCAGAGCCCCAGAATCCAGCCCAACTTCAAAATGGCGCCAGACCTGGCCCGAGGCAGCAAGCCTGTGCCGAGGCCATGGGCCCTGGGGTTCGTCGGGGGGCGTTTCCTGTCTGAGCCTGCCGCCCCCAACTGCTGGCAGCATGGTTTCCGCAGGGCTGCGGCCAGGGCCTGCACTATCAGCTCGGCACCAGATGCCCGGTCAGGATACTTGTGGTGAAACTGTGAGGGTGCATTCAGCCCTTTGGGGTTTTCTCCCGTGTCAACCTCCAAGACAAATGGAGGAGGAAAAGTGACACCCAGCCCTCCTTCAGCTGTGTTTTCCCCGTTCTAAGCCAGGAGCAGGGCTGCAGGCAGCTGCTCCAGGACAGGGGCCTGCTGCACGACCACCTATGGCTGTAGGGGCACCTGAAAGCTGAGGCCATGATGGACGCTGGGGTCAGGCCACTGGGATCAGGCAACTTGGTCAAGGCTGGACAGATGGGTCTGGCCTGGGGGTATGAACATTGTTCTGGAACCCTGGGGGGGTTGGGGGAGCGCTCCTCTCCAGGCATACACCGTGTGAGGGCCACAGATAGGATAGACTGGGTCTGAGACAAAATAAGAGGTGAAAGGTATCTAGGACACCTCACTTTGCCTGGGGTGGGGGGTAAGCCTTGATCAAGGCTTTATACACAGGGCCTCACTTCAACCCTAACCCTAGGAGTTACTGAGGCCATGCTTGCCACAGGGTAAGCAAGGGTTAGGGAGGTGCAGGATTACCCATGGCCAAAGATGCTACACCCAGAGCTAAGGATGAGAGGAGGCTGGGGGGGGAGGGAGGGGAGTTGGATGCTGGATGCTTCACTGTAGCCCCCAGCCCAGGGCGCTGGGTGAGTCACGGGCTCTGTGCCATCCAGCTAGCCCACAGCCAGCATAGGGAATCCGGGAGCCCAAGTCCCCATCACTAGACATCTGTGCTGCAGCCCAGCTCCCGCGCTGACCCCAGACCCAGTTCTAGTCTAGGTGGGATTGGCAGTTCCCAGACCTGCGCCCCTAGGTGGTGCCACAGCCAGAGCACCTATCCTGCCTTTAACACAGGTGCAGCATCGTGCATGCGCTGCTTTTCTAGCCCAGCGGCCATCTGCGCCTGCACACTTGGCCTCACTTCAGTGACGTGTCCACGGGGTTGAGACACACAAGGGCACAGTGCAGCTCCCTGCCTAGGCCTGCAAGTGGGCCACCAGCATGAACCCTTGCCAACTTTTCCTTCTTTTCCAGGCTGGTGAAGTAACTGGCCAAATGGGCTGAGGTGGTACCTGGCCAGGGTGACCAGGGCCCCAGCCCTAAAGCACAGAGCTGCACCTGGGTTTCCTCAGAGAAGCAGAGGCGGCGCTGCAGGGCTGCTGGGCCAGTCAGTTGGGCAATTCTGGGGGGACAGGGGGAAGCCTGGCTTGGTCCTACCTAGGGGCACCAGAAACTAGGTGTGAGTGGGCCAGGCCCACGAGGAGAACACCGTGTAAACACTGGTCAAGTGCAGCCTCCAGTTTCCAGCCCTTGAAGACAGGACACCCCAAGGACTCGGGCTCAGGCCAGAAACTGATTGGGGAAATGGAGATAAAATGAGAGGAAATGGAAACATTTGCTAATTCTTAACAAGCAGTTGCAATATGCCACTTTATACTTATTACCTCATGTGATCCTTAAAGCCATCCTACCGAGAGGCTAACATAGCACTGCTTCGTTTCACAAATGAGGGAACTGATGCCCAAAGCCTTGCCTAAGGTCACAGTGGAAGGCAGTATTCGGACTTCCACGCAGACCCTGACTGCAGGGTCCCACTACTGAAGGAGTGTCCTCTCCCAGACTAAGTCCCCGTCCTTCCAATGCCCTTTTGACCGCATACCTCACGTTGTCCACAATCATTTTCTCTCCTCTATATTCCGCCTCCGATTTTCCACTGAATCCTTCCCACTAGCATTTAATACGAATCTCTTCCGTCTTAAAATTTTCAGCTGTACATTCTTCTAATAGCTACCCTGGTCTCATCCCTTTCACAACTAGATGTGAAATGCAGTCAGTATTCAAAAGGAGCCCTAGCTGGTTTGGCTCAGTGGATAGAGTGTTGACCTGTGGACTGAAGGCTCCCAGGTTCGATTCCGGTCAAGGGCACATGCCCAGGTTGCGGGCTCAATCCCCAGTAGGGGGTGTGCAGGAGGCAGCCGATCAGTGATTCTCTCTCATCATTGATGTTTCTATCTCTCTCTCCCTCTCCCTCCCTTTCTGAAATCAATAAAATATATTTAAAAAAAATAAAATAAAAAAGGAGCCTCACCTCAGGCCAATCCCATTCCTAACATTCAACCAAGTTCTAAGTCACCAAAGAATGACTTCAATGACCCATTCTAAAACCAACAGACCTCTTCCATTCTTACTTTTGCTTGGCAACTCGCAGCAGCACTGATTGCTCTTCCTTGAAACATCTTTCCACTTGACTTCCATGACACCACATGGTCCAAGCCTTTCTCTTGCCTCACCGGCCACTTTCTCAACTTGTGTGCAGTGGTGTGCTCCAAGAGGCCACTGTACTTTAAAGTCCTAATGTTCAGTTCTTCTTACTCAGCACCCTTCCTAGGCACCCTCACCCACCCCAACCGCCATCTCACCATTTCCACAGCCATCTTCATGCTGAACGACCCCCACATTTATCATTTCCATGCCATTCTGACCTGCAGGACTAAATATCCAACTGCCCATAGACATTCCCACTTGGATGTCCTAAGAACACCCACCTTACCATGTCTGAAACCACTCATCATTATCTTCCTCAAACCTGGCCTTACAGATCTTC